AGGACTAAATCTGTAATTATACTAATTCTTTTAACAGACATGTAAACTTCTACATTAAATATTAACGACGGATGATTTGATTAATAACACTTATAAGGTGAATTAGTTAATAAAATTAAAATATCAATAGTTAAAATTAAATTCACTTGATCGTGGGTGCGGTTTAGCAAATAAAATTATAAGGACAAGTCTAACTGCCATTTAAAACAAGATAGATCTCATGAAAAACGTGATCTATTATTACTAGAAAGACAATGCACTAAATATACAGTTGATTATATAATTAATTATAATGATAAGCTAATCAATGTTTTATTATAATTATTGGTGTTTTCTTCTTCCCAAACTATTCTGGTGTTTTGAGTGTTGAATTTTTCTTAATTATTTTAGTGTCGGGAAAAAAATAATCTAATTTAACCGATTTACATTACATATTTAAGCAGAGGTGAATAAAACTTGATTCAGCTTAAAAAATTAATCATGTCTCGTATATTAAATTAAACTTTTAAAAAATTAAAATAATAATAAAATAATCACAGATACACCTATGCTAGCTATGATATTGATTTTTGCTATTACCATATGCTTTATCTCTTACGTTTGTATTTTATTTTATTTTTAGCTAAACATAACAGCAAGGGATTTCATATATATAGAACTTCATGGACGAAATTAAATATTAAAAAGAATATGGGTTGGTATGGGCTAAACAACGATGGAATTTAATTATCTGGACCGTCCATGTGTGTGATTTCTATAAGTTGCTAAGCTCTCATACTTATCAATGGACGGCAGCGATTTTGTACTTATCATATTTTTTTTTCCTTATAGAAACGCCATCAAAAAATGAAATTAAAATGAAAAAAATTGAAAACATGAAAAATTCAAAGAGTGTGCGAAACATAAAATCATAAGCTAATATTTTAGGAGAGAATTAAAAATCATGTGTTCTCTCCGGGCGCACGTTAGCAGGGCTAATGGCATCTGAGAACTCCCGTCGTTTCGCCGGTATTCCTCTTCCGATATTCATTTCTGATCCTTTTCTGTTGGTTTCTTAACACTGTGCTATTTGTGCTGATGGATTGGATGTAATTGTTTGGCAGTGGATAAAGTCAAGCCCTCGATTATTTTCCCCCAAAATCTTGCGAGGGTAACCCAACTGTTCTCCCCCCTCCAGAGGTTCTAGAAGTTGGGATTCTTGAATGGAAACAGTCTCTCGTGGGCCAATTCCTGGGAGTTCCCCCCTCTTTCACCTTAGTGCAAAGGATTGTTGATAGTTTGTGGGGAAAAGCTTTGCAGGGTTCACGGATACAGGTTAGTTTCGCTGGTCAAAATCTGTTTGTTTTCTCTTTCACTTCTGAATCAACCCATGAATGGGTGCTCAAAAATTGACCATGGCATGTGCATAATAAGCCTCTCATACTTAGAAAATGGGAACCCAGTATGAAAAGGCTTAGTTTAAATCTGTCTAAAATTCCAATATGGGTAAATCTGTATAACGTACTCTTAGAATTATTTTCTCGAGCTGGTTTAAGCTATATAGCCAGTGCTATTGGAGTTCATATCTCTATGGATTCCATTATTGCTACTAAATCTAGGCTCGAGTATGCTAAAGTCTGTATTGAGATTGGTGTACACGATGTCATTCCTAAATTCATTGAAGTAGTTCTACGAGATGGACAGTCTACTTCGATTCAAGTAGAGGTGCCTTGGTATCCTTCTTTCTGTAATAATTGTATGGTGTTTGGTCATAATGAAAAAGATTGCATTAAGAAATCTTCCAATGCACCTATTGTTTCTCAAGTTTGGGTTAAAAAAAGGAAAGCTCATCTAAAAAGATTGCCACTCAAGTGGAAGGAATAGAGGTTTTACAGGATTCTACAACCAATAATATTAACACTGAGGAAGTCCAACCCCTGAACATAGAAGATTTACAGGATGATCAATGAAAAGTAGATAACCTTGTTATCTCTAATGTCTCGGCCTCTCAGAATGTGCATAAAGAAACTGTAACAGTAACAGTCACTAATGTTAAACCTGAGAGTGAAAGTGTTAAACAGATTGTTGAAGCAACTGATGTTGATAATCCTATACAGCACTCAGATCATAAAAGGGGAAGAGCTAGGCCTGCTAAGGAAAAATCAAAAACCTCTTTAACAGGTTCTACAAACAGATATGCAATTCTTAACTCTGATGATGGTATTTCTCTCAATAACGATAGTATGCCTAGGATTCCTAGAGCTGATTCTCAGGGAGTGGCTGAACTGGTAAATGTACTCAAATCAAAGAAGAAGAAAAATCTAGGTAAAGCAAAGAGTGATTCAGTTGTTAGTATAGAAGGGCCATTGGGTTCCTCTACTGCTCTTCTTAAATGATTATAAGCTTCTGGAACATAAGAGGGCTTAACAGTCCTCTTAAGCAAAATAAAGTAGTTCTTAGAGCTAATCTTAATAAGGTTGATGTTCTAGAGTTAAAGTTGATAAGTCAGAAGCCATTTTGAAATCTAAGTTTTCGAACTGGAACATCTGTACGAACTACGATCATGCTAGCAATGGTAGAATATAGGTGTTGTGGAGGAATGATCTAAACTTTACCATCATTCAAGTTGTTGACCAAAGTATTACCATAAAAGGTATTTTTCTTGGATCTCATGTGTTCATCACTTCTATCTACGGTAGTAATGCTGAAATTGCTATAAGAAACTTATGGCAGCAGATTAAAGGTGTTGGAAATACGATTAACCATGATCCATGGGTTTTAGGGGGAGATTTTAATATCTTTTTGCATTCTAATGAGAGTTCTGATCATGACGTGTTTGGTAACTATTTGACCATGGATATGAAAGAGTTCCAAGATTTTACTTGTGAGATGGAGCTTATTGACCATCCTTTCTTTGGGCCATTGTACACTTGGAATAACAAACAAAAAGACCTTTTCCTGGCCAGAAAGCTTGACAGAGTTCTGATTAATTCAAGCTGGTATGCTACTTTTAAACACTCCTTTGTGGAATTTGTTCCTCCAGGAGTCTCTGATCATTGTATGGCCATTACTTGGCTTTCTAAAGAGAATTATGCTAGCATACCTAAACCGTTTAAATTCTTCAACTGCTGAACTGCTCACCAGGATTTTTTGGAAGTGGTAAGATAGTCTTGGATTCGTTTTGCCCAGGAGACCCTATGCCGATGTTGTTCTCCAAACTTAAAAGACTCAAAGATAGTTTAAAGTGCTTTAATAAGGAACATTTTAGCGGTATTGTGGAGCAGGTAAAAGCTAAAAGAATTGAATTGGAGAATCAACAAATTTTCACTTTAAAAGGGGAAGATACAATTGAAAAAGAACTTGCTCTTCATGAAGAGTTAAAGACCTTGGAAGAAGCTGAAAGTATGTTCCTTAAGCAAAAGGCTAAAACTCAATGGTTAAAGGATGATGATAAAAATACAAAAATTTTCCATTCTATGATGGCCTTAAAAAACAAGAGGGATACTATTAGAATTCTTGTGGATGATAAAGGAAATAGAGTTGAATCTTTTGACTCTATGGCTAAAGAGGTGATTGATTTCTTTTCCAAGCTTATTGGAACAGTTGATCATTCGGTTAAATCTATTGATCCTAATCTCATCAATTCTATTATTAACTATAATCTTCCCTCTGAAGCTTCGTCTAGCCTTGTTGATGAAGTCACTGCAGAAGAAATTAAATAAGCCATTTTCAATCAAGGAAATGAAAAAGCCCCGGGTCCTGATGGGTTTTCTTCTCTCTTTTTCAAGAAAGCCTGGAATATAGTGGGTAAAGACGTTATTGTTGCTGTTAAATATTTCTTTTTGAATGATTCTTTGCTTCCAGCTTTCAACTCAACCATTGTTGATCTTGCTCCAAAAGTTCCTGATCTCTCTACTGTTAAAGACTTTCGCCCCATTTCTTGTCGTTCAATTATTTACAAGGCCACTTCCAAAATTCTTGTTAAAAGAATGAACAACAATCTTCCAGAGATAATTTCTTTAAACCAGACAACATTTATCAGAGGAAGAAACATTGTCGATAATACTCTTCTTGCCCAAGAGATTGTCAAAGGTTATGGTAAGAACTCTATTTCCCCTAGATGCACTTTGAAAATTGATCTTCATAAAGCTTTTGATTCCATAAGCTGGGGATTTATTTCATCCATTCTTAAAGCAATAAATCTCCCTCAAAAATTCATTGAATGGACTGAAATCTGTTTCACCCAACCTAGGTACTCAATTTCTTTCAATGACACTTTGATAGGTTACTTTAAAGGGGCTCGAGGTCTTAGGCAGGGGGATCCTCTTTCCCCTTATCTCTTTGTTCTTGCGATTAACGTCTTATCTCGAATGCTCAACCTGGCTGCTTGTAAAGGCTTATTTAGTTTTCACCCGAAATGCAAGAAGATTGGGCTTACTCATCTTTCCTTTGCTGATGATCTTCTTATTTTCTGCAAAGGAAATCCTGATTCTGTTGCTGGCGTTCTTAGTGTTCTGGATCATTTCAAGGATATCTCAGATCTAAATATTAACCCATCCAAATGTGAAATTTTCGTTGCTGGAGTCTCTCCAAGATCAATTGAGGGCATTATTCAAATTTCTCGTTTCAGAATTAGTTATCTTCCTGTCAAATATCTAGGAATTCCTCTGGTCACACGGAAGTTGAATGAGAAAGATTGTGAAGCTCTTATTACTAAAATTAAACAAAGACTTCTTCATTGGTCTACTCGGAACTTAAGTTACGCTGGCATACTGGAATTGATTAAATTTGTTATCTACAATGTTAGCAATTACTAGTGCAGACAATTGTTGCTGCCTACTTCGATTCTTAAAAAGGTATAGCAACTTTGTTCCAGATTCTTCTGGAAAGGTTCTGATAAATCTGCTGCATGAGCTAGAGTGTCATGGGATAAAATTTGCCTTCCTAAATCAGAAGGGGGTCTCGGTTTGAAGAACATTACAAGCTGGAATAGAGCTTGTATGATTCAACTCTTAAGGAAAATGCTTGCTGGTGATGGTTCTCTTTGGGTGGCATGGTTAAACAGATATGTTATTAAAGACCAAAACTTCTGGAAATTCGTTCCTAATTCTAGTACGAGTTGGAGTACCAGGAAAATCCTCAAAATAAGGACTGATGCTTTGCAATTCAGTTCTGATTCTAATGCGATTAAGGATATTTGGGATGATATTCGACCTAAAAGCCAAAAAGTCCCTTGGCATAATCTCCTTTGGTTTCCATTGCATATACCGAAGCATTGTTTAATCGTCTGGATGACCATTCAAGACAGATTGCCTACAAGAGATCGTCTGCAAAATATGGGCATTAACGCTGCTGCTTTATGTGTTAACTGTAGTAATTATCCTAAGACTCGAAACCATCTTTTCACAGACTGTTCATTAGAAGATCGCTTATGGAATATTATTTTGAATGTGAATGGAATGAATGCATCACATTTGACATGGAACGACATGGTTTATAGAGCAATCACTTCATAGAAAGGGAAGTCTCTCATTACCTCTATTTTAAAGATTGCTTGGTCTGCATTCATCTATTCTATATGGCAGGAAAGAAACCAAAAAATTTTTCAAGCTCGGTCTAGATCTGCAGAACAACTTTTTACTGAAATTTATGAGGTTGTCCGATTAAGTCTTAGGGGAAAAACATCAATAGGATTGATAGCATTAATCTTTCCTTGTGTAATGCTTGGGGCTTATAGTTTTTGTACCAATCATTATTTTGTTTAGGTTGTGCACTGTTATTTTTTGTTTTATTTGGTTGATTAGATTGTAGCAAAACTTTATTATTTTGGATAATAAAAATTTTGAATTATCCACACACAAAAAATCATAAGCTATCTTTTCCGTGAATTCTTCTATCATTTTTATTGAAAAATAAGTAACTATCATTATATTCTTTACTTCCCTATCTAAATAAACTAAATAAAATATTATATCTAACTTTTAAATATAATCTTATACTCTCTGAATCAAATCACTAAAATTCTTATTAACCATTCTAATTATCAAATGTACCAAAATTTATCAAATCCATGTCTTACTTCGATCCAAATTTATTATCTTATTTTTATTTATTTAAATAATTATGAATTATTTAACAAATTTGGAAATGATAAATGAATTTAAATATTTAGAAGGTTTCAAATATCTTATCTCTGCCACCCCCAAACAACTGTGTTTATCATTTGTGTTCCCATTTTCCAACTTTTGTATTTTGCTCCACAATATAAAATTATATAATTTTGCTTTATCTTTGTCGTTATTATTGTGTCATTTAGAAAAGGATAAACTTCACAGTGGTTGATCTTATCTTCTGCATTCTCCAATATATAAGCAATTATTAACCACATTTTCACGACCTTTTTTTTTCTGTTATTTTTGCTCCACTCCTAATTCCCTAAAATGGAGCCCACCTCTATGTTACTTTGTCACCTTTTATCTTGGATTTTGATATCACTAATGAAATGTAAAAGTTTCTCAATGAAATAATGCATTTTTATTTAAGTAATATATAAATATTAATACTATATTACTATATTTATATTCCACAATATCCAGACGTGTTCTTATAAAATTACGATGTTGCTTTGAACTTTAAAAAAATTTAATGTTATTTTACGTATTAATTTTAACATGTGTCGTCGTCTTACTGATTAAATAAAATCAATTTGAGTAATAAAAAATAATGATTTAGAAATTCAAAATTATCATGTTAGTTGTAACGTTATTGCAAATTCAAAACCATAATATATGGTTAGATATATTTTAAAAAAAATAGTTGAATAATCAAAACAAAAGCACGAGAATAAATAGCGACTGAATTTATGATTTTTTTCTTTTAATCATTTTTTTTAAAAACTATAGATTAAAACCATACACATTAAATAAAAATTCAGAGATGCTATTTACACAAAACTTAAAAGTGAACATTGTGTATTTTTTTTCTGAATTCGGTTGTACTTTTATTTTCAATTCTATATATATAGTGGCAATTGGACAGGTTGGATTAATTAATGAGCTGAAATTAATTAACTAATTATATTTATATTAACACGATTTATTCTTTAAGATTCAAGTCAAGGTGGGAATACAAGTTAATTAAAACCGTATTGATGGATATTTTTTTTCTAGTACAAGTATATGTTGATATTAATGTGTTTAGTGTATTATTTCAATTTTCTAATTACTTTGTTTTTTTAACCGGATAATTACTTTGTTAAGTATTTTTATATAATATAAATATGCATCAATTATAATTTATATACATATAAATATATTTATATAAAGAATGTGATGACCAAAGAAATTAATTAATATTATCGATGCTTTTTGTTTTCTATTTTTCCACCTTATGATAGTGAAATAAAAATGTGGTATATTCCAAGAGAGTTTCGTAACTATTATATATATATATATATATGTAGCTCAAGGAGGCGTAGAGCAATGAACAAGCAAAGGAACAATATTACCTCAAATTTTATAATTTTTTTACAAGCATCAAATATGGATAGTAAAATTAAAAATATATAAAAGAAAATAATGAAATGAAAATTTGATAGAATTTAAGTAAATAAAATCATTTATTATTCGAATTTTAGTCATCTCATGCAAGGGGAAAATAAATAATTTATTGACTTAATGAAAAACTAGACTTTTTTTTTTGGATAAGTTAAAATTTATTACCCGAATAGAAGAGTTCAATAACAAAATACATCCCATTCAAGGAGCAAAGACAAGCTACTTACAACATAAAATGGTTAGCCTATACCCCAATTGTTACAAAAAAAAATATTAACATTATCAAGTCTATTAAAATTTCTACCTCTAAGTTGAATGCCAACTATCTCTTTAATGGAGCTTGCCATCTCTTCGATCGTTCGAGATCTTCCTTGGAATAGTCTTCTATTTCTTTCCTCCCAAACAATATAAATGAAAGCACCCCAAGCAATCTTCATAATGATAGTAAAGAGGGATTTACCTTTCCAAGTTCCACAAGCCCAAGCAAGCATATTATCCCATGACATAGGAGACTTGGTAAGTGAGAGAAGTTCAATATAGCTTTCTATAGGGAAACAACCGTTGCATAGTCAGCAAACAAGTGATTTCTCGATTCTAGGGCCTCATTACATAAAATACATGAAACATCAAAAGCAATTCCCATTCGAGTAAGCCTCTCCCTAGTTGGGAGTCTATCCAAGATTGTCATCCAAGAAATAATGTTGAATTTAGGAATGTGGAGGGTGTAGACACCCGTTTTTGTCCGGGTTTTTTTTTATATATATATTATTATTATCGTTATTTTAATTATTATTATTATTTTATTTACATATTACATTATGTTTCCAGGCCCAGTACAAAGACCCAAAGCCCAATACAACTCAAGCCCACCAGGAGGCCAACCAATCCACAGGCCCAGTCTGAACTAACCCACCAGATTAGGGTTTTAAACCCTAAAACAAATTAGGGTTTTAACCCTAATCCCCTAACACCAGCCGCCGCCTTCAACTCCCCAGTTCCCAGTTGACGCTCGAGCTGGACTTCACTCTTGTCGCCGCCGACAGCCTCCATCGCCGCCTCCGTCCTCTTCTGTAATAACATTGACCCACCATCGTCATCAACAGTGAAAAATATCACCCAAATCAGTCAAATTAAATCAAATCCAAAACCCATTAAAATAATACCTAAAATCCCGATAAATCGGGAAAATTGTCCCCTATACATAGATATCATTATTCCTACCAAAAATCAAGGATAAATGAAGCAAAAAAATAGCATGCAAGGGGAGGATTCGGAAGGCCAGAAAAAAGAAAGCAAAGAGAAACCAGAGAGCATTGGGTGAGGAACCCATTCGGGAAAAAACAAAAAATAACTGAGGAAAAAAACATATATTCGAGACAAAAAATAGATAAAGGGAGGAGATTTTACCTTTCTAGGGTCTTCATTGGAGTCCCTAACTGTTGAGTTTATATTGAGAGGATGTTTCATGGCTCAAGGAGGTGGTTGCGGTGTTCTTCGAGCCTTATGAGGCTCGGTTGAACCATGGGTAACAGAGGGTGAGGAACTGGGGGTCTTTGGGGGTTTATTTAATCCCTGTGGCCACCGATCTACGGTGGCCAGGGAGCCCTTGGTGCTCTGTTCTCCTCGTGGCGAGGAAGCAAGAGGGAAAGGGGGAGAGTATAAAGGGAGAGATGAGAGCGGCTGAGAGAGGAAAATAAATGAGAAATAGGGTTTTAAAATCCTTATTGGGTCTTATAACCTACAAGCGAAACGGCGTCGTTTGATCAAGGGCGGCTGCGCGTCCGAAGAAGGGTATAACTACACTTTTAATCCCTGTGGCTTTGTAAACTCACCCAGCGTGTTTTCATATTTGGGGTAAATCCCTGTTTAGGTCCCTCCGCATTTTGTAATGTTGGATTATCTTTTATCAATGAAGTTTTTTTATTTTTATTTTGAGCTCTGATTTCATTTTTTTTATAATTTAGTACTTTATTGCCTTTAAATACTCTTGTGTTTATATTTGAGTTTGGATCATTGTACTTTAGTTTGTTCATACTTATGTAGAATACTTTTCTTGCACGTTCATTATAGTCACTGATCTTGTACATTATACACGTTTCTGTGACTGTTTGAGTATGGTTTTAAAATTCGTAAATATTATATTTTAGTCACCATTTTATATGTTATTCCATTGTTTTTAATATTTGACTCTGGTAATGATGTTTATAAAGGTTCCATTTTAGTCACGAATGCAAGTTTCGATTTCATGTTTTGAGTTTTAAATTTCATAATTCTTTCATTTTGATCACTGAACGCAATTCCGTATCATTTTATTTCGAGCCACTCATTTTGCAGTATTTATATTTTAGCCATTGCCTTGTTATCATTCCAATTTTTGTTGATATATGATTTTGAGTGTGAAACTCATTATTCTTTTCATTTTGGCCACTGTTTGCTTACCATTGACTTTAGGATTAATGCTCTTGCATGTCTACTACTTTATATTACATTTCATGTTAGTCCATAACTCTGTTATAGGTGGAAATGAATCTATTCATGCTTTTAATTCTATGTTTAGCCTTGCATTTATTTTGGTTAGTATCTATGGTTTAGTGTTTAAAGTTTGGGGTTTATCATCCATTAGGACCTTGTTGTTATGTTTCGGTTAGTTTTAATCCTTGAAATTATTGTATGAATTGTTTGTGTTCCATTTTCATTGTAATTATATATGTATTTTTACAGATTTAAATTAGTTAAATTGTTTTGTATTCATATATTAACTTGGTTTGTTCAGTTTTATTATTTTGTATTCTAAATCATCATGTTTGCAAATTATTACTTATGTCTCTAATATGTATGCATGAGTATATATTATGTTAATTTTTAACCTTACATTTATGTATGTATTTGTGGTTATTATAAATGCTTATTAATTAAATTTTATTTCATATTTACTCGATATTTTCAAGAATGCGAATTTG